TCAGCACCCACCTTTCTGAAGAGACAGACAAATGAATCTGCAACACTCCCGCTTTTGCTTTAAGGTCATTTCTGTCTTATATCTGATGCTGAACACCCCGGGCAGCTCCTGCCGAAGGTGGCTGAGCAAAACAATGACCTTTTCATGGTGAGTGTGATTCATACATCTCATCCTTCACAAAGCAACGTTCAGCCAGTTGTGTCTTACATCAGGTACTGACTGTGCCCATGTCCCCGTCATTGCATAACTCTGGTGCTGCCGAACTGCTTATTTTTGTGTCGACAAAAGCACCCTTGATAGAAATGTCTGCACTCAAACCAGTTGTGTGGTTATTTTATTGCCAGCAAAGACATCATAGTTTGAACCAGTATTGTGTTTTTATTGAATTCATTATTTGAAAATTCAAAGTTTGTAAATTACTATCTGAGCTCAGGTCATTATGACCATTTTTTATTTATTTTGATGCCATTWGGCATATAAATTCCACGTCCACTTTCATGTTACAGGCAGGATTTGTTTAGACTGTGTATAGTCAAAAAGAGCAATGGTTCACCCTCATGAGGACTTTGCATTGACTTCCATTCATTTTCAGGTCATTTCAACTGACCTTTTATCCTAAACCTAACCACCCCAGAACTAGCCTGGCCCTTGCTTTCCTACACAGTTCCGCTCAATTCAAGTTTCCCTTCACTGCTCTGTCTGGGATTTCTCCCATAGACAATTTCTTCAGGAGAATTTCGTTCMGGCCAATCAGAGAACAGAAGGTGGAGTTTTGAACGACGTTGATTTTCTGCGCAGAGTCTGCTTGTAGTTTAGCAAWGGRAMTGGAGGAAGTGAAAGAAGCCAGTCCGTGTTGATAAGGCTTRCAAATTAAAATAAATTTGTCTGACAAAGCAGCAYCTTTCATTTACAGCTGTATCGTTCYGCTCGGRACTTCTSTCCTCTCTGTAGGGTTGTTTACAGCACACGCAATTCCTTCACAGTGGAGCTGGCTCATACGTTGCAGGCAGCCTATACAATCGTTTTAAACTTCAGCAGAGGCCACGCTTCCAGCAAGAATCTCTTCTCTATAGCCGAGAGTCCAGACCCTCGTACGAAGCAAAGCGAAGGACAAGGGGCTGGTTTTAACCAGTCTACCCCAGTACATACCTGACCCTAAATATGGCCTAAACTTCATTTACACCTTAGTCCTTACCCACCAACGGTTTTTCCCTTGACGTGGACTGGGCTTTTGTCCCCACCAGMTAATAAAAACATGTACACAAACACACAGACCAAAAGTCAGCTTAGAATCTCTAATGACCCTGGCATGCATGTTTTTKGGCTGCTGGAAACTTAAATTCCAGTGCTGTACGGTGACGTGATTAACAGAAATTTGTCAAAAATCTGATGAAATGCTTTTATATCATTCTCCATCCTGCTTTTTCAGTGGAGTTAAAGACCATAAATGATACAGCTCTTGCTTTCTTTAATGCAGATTATTTTACTCTACGRCAAGGTTGGAAATAAATGCAGCCCTCACAGTTCATTACTTTTTGAACCTGTGGTGGCACGATTTCCCAAGAATGCAGAAACACGTTGGAATAAATGCACAGAAAGTCTGCGTGTATGGTCGTCAAATGATTT